TTCTTTCCCATTCTGACATTCAGTTTGGAGTTCAGGAGATTGTCTTGACCAGGACCACACCCCTAAATGCATTGAAGCAATTGCCATGTGATTGGTTGATTAGATAATTGCATTAATGAGAAATTAAGAACATAAGAACATATGTTCTTATGTTCTTATGAAGCAATTGCCATGTGATTGGTTGATTAGATAATTGCATTAATGAGAAATTGAACAGGTGTTCCTAATAATCCTTTAGGTGAGTGTATTTCAAACAATATTAATAATTTACTGCCAGATAAGACATGTTTTTACATCCTCACATCACTTACAGAGCTGTCTTGGATGTCTTCACCACAGGCAGCAGCCTCCAGTGTTCATTATCTGATCTGAAGAATTTCTTCAGATCAAACACATCCAGCTCCTCTTCTGACATCAGTAACACAAAGGCCAGAGCTGAATACTGTGCAGGTGAGAGATCTTCTGCTGAAAGTCTTCCTGAATTCAGGTATCTTTGTCCCTCCTCTACTAGAGAATTGTCACCTAGTTCATTCAGACAGTGGAACAGGTTGATGGTCCTTTCTGGAGATAAATTCTCCTTTATTTTCCCCTTGATGTATTGGGCTGTTTTCCCAATGTTATGTGAGCTGAGTCTTGTCTGTCCCAGTAGCCTTTCTAACAGTGTCTTACTGGAGTCTGTTGAGAGGCCCAGGAGGAAGCGGAGGTAGAGGTCCAAATGTCCATTCTTGCTGTTTAATGCCTGTTTCACTGCAGTCTTCAGTAGGCTAGCTGATGATTTTGATAGAACCACATATAAAGCGGCAAGATACTCCTGGATGCTCAGATGCACAAAGCAGTACACCTTTTCCCGATACAACCCATATTCCTTTTTAAAGACTTCTGTGCACACTCCAGAGTAAACTGAAGTTTCTCTGACATCAAGGTCACTCTGTTCCAGATCTTTCTCATAAAATATGAGATTGCCTTTCTCAAGGTTATGAAAAGCTAGTTTACCGAGTTTTATAAGGAAGCATTTAATGATCTTGGTTTCATTTTTTTTCATCCATCCATCCTTCAGTTTTCTGTACCAGCTTCGCCTATTCTGGGTCGCAGAGGTCTGGAGCCTATACTTGTCATTTTTTAAACTTGCCTGAAAGATCAGGAAGTGTGTGTACATTTCAGTCAGAGTCCTTGGAATTTCTCCACTGTCAGTCTCACAAAAAAGACTTTCAAGAACAGTGGCTGAAATCCAACAGAACACAGGTATGTGGCACATGATGAAGAGGCTCCTTGATGATTTCACATGTGTTATAATCCTGCTGGCTAGGCTCTCATCACTGAATCTCCTCCTGAAATACTCCTCCTTCTGGGCATCACTGAACCCTCGTATCTCTGTCACCTGGTGGATGCACTCAGGAGGTATCTGATTGGTTGCTGCTGGTCTGGAGGTTATCCAGAAGAGAGCAGATGGAAGCAGATTCCCCATAATGAGGTTAGTCAACAGCACATCCAGTGATGTTTTCTTCATTACATCAAACCAGCTCACATTGTTCTGAAAATCTAGAGGAAGGCGACACTCATCCAGACCATCAAAGATGAACAAGATCTTGCACCTAAACAGCTCAGTGGATTGAAATAACTTTAGTTCTGGGTCAAAGTGGTGAAGAAGTTCAATCAGACTGAATTCACCCTTAAGCAAATTCAGATTCCGGAAAGGAAGAGCAAATATGAAGTGAATGTCCTGGTTTGCTTTTCCTTCTGCCCAGTCTAGAATAAATTTATGCACAGAGACTGTTTTCCCGATACCTGCAACCCCTTTAGTGAGTACAGTTCTGATAGGTGTCTCAAGCCCACATAAAGGTTTAAATATATCATTGCACTTGACTGTAGTATCTTCTGTTCGCCTTTTCTTGGGTGCTGTTTCAATCTGTCTCACTTCATGTTCATCATTGACTCCTCCAGGTCCACCTTTAGTTATGTAGAGTTCTGTGTAAATCTCTTTGAGAAGTGTTGACTCCCCTTCCTTAGCTTTCCCTTCAGTTACAAACTCAAATTTATTCTTCAGGTTACATTTTATTCTGTCCAGCATAAGTTCCCCTGAAGAAATATGGGAGGAAAATGCACAATTTCTCAAGAAGATCCTGACCAGTATGAGAAGAAGAAAATAAACACACACACACACACACAAAAACACACGTTTTTCACTATTTCACTGTGATGAATGATACTTTAAGTTTCACATCATACACATTTATTTCTGAAACACCACATACATAATAGCATAAATATCTTACTTTTCTCCAATATGTCACCCAGCTCACTTCGTACTCGGTTACCTGAAATTAGAAACAATTTCAAAATCATTTCTATCTTCAACATCAGTCTGTAACAAACTGTTCATCATTTCCCATATAATGCTGTATAATATATGTATGTAAGAGGTTAAAAAGATTACATTTTATATGAAAAACAAGAAATGTTAAAAACTTGATTACACAGTCTCTTAGCAAGGTCATTCAGGGTCATTTTCTTCAGGATTTCTATTGTGACTTCAAGAGCACCAACTTCCATGTAGTAACTTATCATCGTGTCGGCAAGGTCTGTTTTATCCAAGTCCTTCACCTGACCCTTGGGAAGGGGCTTTAACTCTTTATACTTTGTGTGACTCAGTTTCCATTTAAACTTCTTCAGCTGTTCACCATCGAGCTCCTCCAGATACTCCAGCAAGAGGTTGGGGAGCGAGGTCTGGGTCTGCAGAATGTCAGAGATGAGTCCATGAGATCTCACAGAGCTGTTTATGGTCACTCACACACATGCACTGAACTTTCCCATAACAGAATTCAGTTTCCCTGCTCACAGTCTCATGTGGCTGCTGAAGACACCTGCTATGATTTTTCTTTACTATAGGAGACACACGTGTGTTTATTTCTGCATTATTATTTAACCTTTTTTAACCAGGTTAGTCTCACTGATTTAAAAAATCTCTTTTACAAAAGAGACCTGTCCAATATAAAGAGTTTAAATTTAAGATCCAATGGAGCACATTAAAACAATAGGGCCAAAATCAAAACAGACTACAAACATCATGTTAAGATAGCATCAAATATTATTATACATATTTTAGATTAAATTATTCTGTTACAGCCCATCTGTAACATTTGGTGTAGGGCGGTACGGTACGGAAGTAGCCGTGTGGAAGAGCACTGCGGAGAGGGAGCTTATTGTCTGCTATGTTCAGCAATCTTTAGCTGAAAATATTTACTCAACTTGTGCTTTCATGCCTTTCAGTGTCTGGTGTTTATGGACAAAATATACAACAAATGCCGAAATGCTGTAGCCAAACCTCTTGGTGAGCCATTGCTTAGATGTTTATGGCTGTAAATAAACCAGGTCCTGTGTATCAGTCTGACTGTAATAAAAACCAAAGTTAATGTTAGCTTTACATTCAAAAGTCAGTTTAGCAGCTGTAATATTTTACAACCACAGCAAACTGGACAGTTTACATTGCATGTTTCTTCACTATTCGATGGGTACTTTGTAAAAGAAACTATATGCTTTTCAATCAATGTGTTCAGTGCTTGAAGTGGGTCAGTACTCACAAGTATGCAACACCAGCACCTCTTTATTTTTCTCTTTAGAGTACCGGCACCACACAATATCTGCTGAGAGTACTGGCACCTGAGACTGAATAACAATAGAATAAAATAGAAGCTTTATTGTCATTGTATATAAAATATACAACAAAACTAGACATGTTGCTCCTGTTCAATGCAATAAAGAATCAGAAAAACACAGTCAAACAAATAAATACTTCTCTGTGTTTGCATATGTAAGAAACAGCCAACCGAAGGAGGCAAGTAGCAAAAATCAATACTTTGGAAGAATAAGATGAATTGAAAAGGATTAGTATTATTAAACTGGTTTCTGTAATCACTAAAGACAAATATTGCACACAGATTATTTTTTGTTGTTGTTCAATGATCTTTTGGCCCAAGGGAAGACACTGTCCTTGAGTCTGGTGGTGCGTGTTTTGATGGACCTGTAGCACCTACCAGAGGGCAGCAGGTCAAACAAGTGGTGTCTCTGAGGATATTTTGGGCTCTGGAGAGGCAGAGGGATCTGGAAATGGCTTCCAGGTGTCACGCACGTACAAGGTATGGACCGGGGAAGCAGAGGCAGGAATTGGGGAACACAGGGTTTAATCGAAAGGTAGAGACAAGCAGGGCAACAGAACAGGCAACAAACTCAAAATGACGTTGATGACCGGACTGGGGAAACCTACTCAAACGCAGACGTAAATACATCAGACTAATTCACAATGAGAAACAGCTGGTAACATGGGAATTCCACACAAGGTAGCGAGAGGGGCGTGGCACACAGGAGGATCGGACAAGCAGGACATGAGACCAGGGATGACAGAGAGCAGCTGATGGTTTTTTGGGCAGAGTTCCTAACCCTCTAGAGGACTGTCCTCTCTGCAGATGAGCCCCCGGCATACCACAGTGTAATGTAGAACACCAGGATGCATCTGATGGCAGAGCAATCAAAGGCCACAAGCAGCTTCTGATCCAGCTTGTTTTTCCTGAGTACTCTGAGAAAATGGAGTCGCTGTTGTGCCTTCTTAGCAAGTGTCAAGGTGCTGGCAGACTAGGAGAACTTCTCAGAGATGTCTATCCTCAGGAATTTGATGCAATGGTCCCTTTCCACAGAGACTTCATTGATGTAAAGTGGGGAATGATCACCTCTGTGCTTTCTGAGGTCAATGACGACTTCCTTTGTTTTTGTGGTATTTAGCACCAGGTTGTTTGTTGAACTCCACCCTGTCAGTTTCTGAACCTCATCTCTGTAGGCTGACTCATCACATCCTGAGATGATCACGATAACCATGTTGTTGTCCATGAATTTGATTATGTTATTTGTGGGATGGGTGGGAGTGCAGTCACAGGTATACAGGGCATAGAGTAGTGTGCTTGGCACACAGCCTTGTGGAGAGCCAGTGCTAAGTGTGAAGGAGGAGGAGAAATAGGAGCCACATTTAAGGGACTGGGGCCAGTGTGTGAGAAAGCTTTTTACCCAGGCACAGGTTGTGGGGGGGTTAGATCTAGCAGTTTTCTTGCATACAGTAGCTTCCGGGGTGATCAAGGTGGGTCAGCACGGTATGGAGCGCTATGTTGATGGCATCATCAGTGGGCTGGTTTGATCTGTAGACAAACTGGTGGGGATTGAAGGAAGGAGGGAGGCTGGTCTTGATGTGATGTGCAACCAGCCCCTCAACGTACTTCATCACCACTGAAGTGAGAGCGATTAGCCTGTAATCATTGAGGCAGGATACGTCAGGCTTTTTTGGACAGGGATGATAGTGGATGACCTCAAACAGGGAGGGATGGTTGGTTGTGATAAGGAGAGATCTTGGTGAGGATGCCAGAGAGCTGGGAAAGACATGCTTTGAGTATTTTGTCTGATCCTCTGTCAGGACCAGTAGCTTTCCTCCGGTTGACTTGACTGAGTGCTCATCTCACTTAATGTTCCTGCAGAGTGAGTGTATGAGTGCTGGAGGCTGGGGGGGCAGTGTGACTGTGTCTGACCTGTGTGGCTCAAAGTGAGCAAAGTAGCTGTTTAGCTCCTCTGCTCATGGGGCGTCTGCATGAACAGTAGCGGTGTTGTTGCCCGTGAAGTTTGTGATCTGCATATTTCAGTCCACTTTACACAGGACAACAGATTAGAGGTGTTTTTTTCATACACTGTACTCTTACTCTTGGTTTGGTAGCTGATTGAGTTATAATAATCGTATAATAGAAATTATCAAGTAGTTTGTGTTTATTGGTTGACGTACAGTATGAGTTACTGTAATAAATTGAAATGTAACCCATTTTAGGAAAATAAACCAAAAAAAAAATAATAATAATATTGTCTCAATTAATAAAAAAAAAGATAAAATAACAATAAAGTAGTAAATTACGGTGAAGTACTGTACATCATCAGAATTTATTTAAAAAGCTCAGGCATGCGCAGAGAACTGCTCAACTATACTTGGCGCGTTTTACGGCAGTTATTTTGTGGACATGCCATAACAAGTTTAGGTGCAGCCGGACGTCATCTCAGCAGTTGTGCTCGCTGTTGTCATCATACCAGTGACTGTGGTACTTGGCACACTAATTCGGTGAGTACCTTTCTTTTAATCCTTTTTCACATTGTTTTACTTTTGTTAATGAGCGCCAGTCTGTTGTGCTTGCACGGGAGAGAACTTGTGCTAAACTCTGCCACAGCCTTTGTCCATTATCACAGAAAGTCAGTTGCTTTTCCTTTTTTGCTTTTGCTTCTTGTCCATTGACACCATTCCTTAATTTGGGATGAGAACAGGAAAGTGTTAAACTAACCCACAATCGCGTTGTGAATGAAACAGTGCATTTATATATTTGTCTTAATGTATATGTTTGTAGAGTTGCGTGGAGCGAATGTAACGTGCAGAACATTAGGTGATTTAGTAGCTGGCTTGCAATAATTTTCTCAGTTGTCTAGTCAAGGAGGGGAAAATTTTTTCAATCTTTAATGTTAGCTGCGCTGGATCCCTGATAACCTGCATTTGAAAGTCGCACGCATTCAGCGTCCACTGTCGACGTCATGCTAAGTAGCGCATGTTGAACATGACCTGCTTTAGGGACATGATTTTCAAACATTGTGGCAAACCGCTTTGTTATCTAATTTAATCATACTCCTTTATGTAATTATTTTTAGTACAGTTTGTACTAAAGGCCATGATGAAAAAAGCCTTGAAGATGACAGAAATATGCTCGTAGAGGAGATGAAGAAACAACATCAAATGGGTCTCATCTCAAAATTAATGGATCGAACATTTCCATTGCGCAAGAGATAGTGAGAAACAAGGCTGCTGTCCATGACATGGCTGAACGTTGGCCAGCACTTTTCATGGAGAGACAGGTAAGCTACTATTAAACTGAAAAGATCCTGAAAAGTTAAATTTTAAGGATAGATTTTACAGGGCTTTGAAGCAAAAAAATAATCTCAGAAGTTTATCAAATTGTTAATATTTTATTGCCCTGAATACGTTTCAAATCAGTGTTTAATTCCAGTTTGTATGAAGTCAATGCATCAGCCTTTTTTAAGTAGTATTTGAATATGAAAGAAATTTATCTTTTTTTGTCTTGTAAGCTTTTAATGTATTGTGAGTACAATTGTTATGAATGTAATTGATTACTTAAGACTGTCTTATCCTTCTTCCCCTTTCTCTTTTTCAGGTATTGCTGAGTTTAACAGAATTGCCAGTAAGAATCTTGAAGGAGATTTCTTTGAGGCTCTGGACCAATAAACACCAAGCTTCATCCAACTGTTCAGTTGCAAAAAAGGAACTGTTGGAAAGAAACTGACAGAACTAAAGCAGCAAATTGACTTGATGGTGAGTGACTTATAACTCTTTTTCATCATTGTTGTTCCTATGTTGTTACTTCAAAGGTGTACCATGAAAAGTTACCCCCCTATCTGATTAAGATCATGTCATCAATCTCTTTTAAACCATATTGTGAGGCATTGCATCAGACAAGGATGGGGAAAAAATGACCAGATTCTCAAAAAATTTCCAAAAATGTTTATACACTAGCATGGGGTGACTAATGTATAAAAACTATGTTAAAGGTTTTTACATCAAACAATATAGTCAACAGTATAGTCATTGTGTGCTGCAAACAACAATTTTTGTTTTTTTTTTTGGAAGAATTAGGTGTCAAGTAGGCTAAAACACCATCAATATAATCAGTCCTGATTCACAGTTTTCTTGGTTTTACATTTCAAATTTGCCTCACTTTTAGTTGAAACACAGATAATATAATTTTCTATCTCAGCCTGTGCATATTTTTCAGAAATTGTTTCTTAGAGTAGTTTTCTGTATCAACAGACACCAGATGTGACTGCACAGTGTACATTTGTCCTCAAAGGCCTCCCCATTGTACTAGGCGATGACTCTAGCGACTTCTACGTGTCATGCTTCGTAAGTTCTCTACTTGTCTACTAAACTTTGCATTTGTCCAAAACTAACAGTAGTAAAATATTAATTTTCCTAAATGCATTAAATGCATTACTTTTAACTTGCAACAATTACATATGCCCTGTATGATGTACAACTACCAACATTATACCTGGACAAAGAGGGTAAAATAAATAATTAAGGTACTTGGCATGCAACTAAAACAACTTAAACTTTTATTACACCGGTATTACACTGTGTCAGCCCAGCTTTCATTGTTAAAGCACTGAGATAACTACTTTTGTTGTACCATAGGTTCAGTAGTCACTTCCAGTGAGAGCAGAAATGGTAAAACAACGGTCTGGTTGAAACTAGTGTCTTTAGTTCTGGGTGTCCAAGTGTATACTAGATGGTTCTGGAGTAAATTGCCTCAGATTACACACTCAGAAAGCAATATTTGAGAAAACTATGAGGGGTCAGTATTGCCTCCATACCATTATGTTGAGATGGTTGATCACCAGAGTATCTTGGAACTAATAGAATTATTAACTGATCAATATTTGAAGGTCTAACAGGAAACACAACACACTATTATAATGTTCTAAAATGTTTAAAAATGCTTATCCATAGGACACCACAAAAGAAGAAGCCTTGGCCTCTCTGACAGTTGGTGTCTTGACTGTTATGAGTGAAGATGGCCCAAGTTCTCTGCTCATATCCACAGCCATTGTTCTTGAGGGAGGTATTGCCATGGATAATATCAAGAACTTTCCTCAGGCAGTTTTCCTGTTGTTTGGGCTGACGTATGCGTTACACTTGAACTATCCAAAATGCATGGCAAACACTCTGAAATTCATCCAAATGGTCATGCTGGGTCTGCAAGGCAAAAGCCTCCCACCAAAACTGTTAACACTTAAGAACAGTCTGTTGGTAAACTAGCCGAAGACTTTGTTCTGCAAGTTGCACTTTTCTCTAATAAATGTTCTGTGAGAAACCAGAAGAGACTGACTGCCTGTTTCTATATACCATTCAAAAGGTTTTATTTTTGTGAAAAAATGTACTTGCATTTTATAAGTAAATAGTTTATTTTTTCTGAAATGATGACTGTTTTGAGAAGATGGCATGAAACTTAACCATAAGAAGGATACATCTCGTTAAAGCATTTCAGGTCTACATTGTGGTATTATGATTTCCTTCGAATTTTGTTTATTTTACTTGCAGTACTTGCAGTACCTGATTACTCATACCTTAAGTCTGCAATATATGTTTTAAGCACTTCAGCACTGGTTTTAAATAAATATCTGGAGGTGCCTCATGTTCATATTTGATGTCAGAATGGGAAAACCTGTGCAGCTAGTTATTTAAACGTTTTGAAACTCGATTTTGCATTTCTAAAATAAATATCAGCTGAAATAACTCAATGTGTGTTGTTAAGACATTGTTTTAAATTGTGATTTAATGTGAATATTGGTAAATGAAGTAGTACTATAGCTGGTACAGTAGAATTGTGGCAAAATTAATGAATAGGGCTATGAAAATTTTGAATTAAATTATTTGCTTAAGTTAGGTCAACTGAGTTTTATCCTGTACACTGAAAATGAAAATAAGTTTACACAAAGCATTTTCTTTAATTTAAATATACTGGATAGCTTTAAGTTCTTTTAATTACATTATGTAATTACAGCATACTTAGATTTATTAAGTTCTGCTAACTTAAATATTACAAGTTAATTGTACTTATTTTATTTTATTACAAGTTTTAAAAACCTTTTTTTTTTTGAGGCAACGAGTTTGCATACTTTTTTTAAGTAAAGCCAACTTATTAGGTTTTACAGTGTAGTGCTGAATAAGAAGGGGAGTACCGGCACATAGTACTGAATTACAAGGGGTCGGTTTGGTCTAATAGATCACTGCACTGCAAAAAAAATATTTCCTCCTTCAAAATCAAAAATTTGTAAGTAAAAATAGTACTTTTGAATAACCCATTGATGATGGGCTGTGTGAAATGGTGTTGAATTGGTCTAAATCCTATTTGACTAATGCTGCGTGTTATTGTTCTTCTGCACATGTGTGTCATTTCAGGACTGTGACCAGTTCACACTGGAATCTGATACTGGCCACATTTTAAAATCAGGCTAACAAAAAAATCAGATCTGAGCAGAAAATCCAAATTGAGCACCTGGGATTGCTGTGTTGTCACCTGCATTGAGAAAACGTGCTTTATATTTTTATTTCAAGTTCTTTATACTCATAACATCAGTTTGAAACAAGTCATATTTTGAAAGCATTCAGGAAGCTCATTTTTGTAAGTTTAACCTGTGGATTTTTTTTTACAGTGTATAAGTGAAGCTTGAGGCTTTTTTTTATGTTGTATTAGGGAAATTCAAAACATATTATGCAAAATATTAGTTTTATTTTAGAGGTCAATTACTCTTAAAATAAATTCATAAGTTTCTGTTTTGTACTTTGTGCTGAGGCTGGTCAGACAGGTCCTGCAAGTTGTACAGGAGCAGGAAGTATGTGTAACACATACATCACACAGAAAACAAGCCTTGTGCTTATTACTATTATCACATTGGTCTATTCAGTAACTAATATAACAAAGTACTCTTTAAGTAAGAATTGCTGCACAAAACAGCTTACAGAGAAACACTGAGATACCCACGCAAAGAGATAGCAACATTCTTATGTGGCTGATTATAGTGATTTAAAATTATTAATTCGCAAGAGTACATTACTTTTACTTGGACGTTAAGCATGTCACACTTCGAATCCTGTAATTAAATATCATAAACTTCTACAAAAGTAAGTAAAATCATTTTGTTAAAATATTTTCCGTCTTACCTTGAGATCTGAACAGGAAGGCAAACAAAACCCAGTGATACTGGCTTTGGAGAGATAAATCGCTAGTTCTAACGATGTTACAACAAATTTTTTTGTAGTTATGAGGCAGGATAGAACACATGAAAGTGGGAAAGGAGGGTGGAATACCTCCCTCCACCTCCCCCCCAGACCTGTCTGGGCAGGCTGTGCGGAGACGGCAGCAAGCTGCCACTGCTCTTATTCTGCAACCCCAGCCTGCCCCTCTACTCCCTGCATCAGTCCCACATGCTCCTTTACCTGCCCCATCGACACCTCGACTACCAATAGCTCCCCGGTGACACCACAACAACCCATAGCCCCCCAAGACACCACGACCAGCCATAGCCCCCCACTGACACCTCGACCAGCCATAGCTGGATAGTTTTGCTGAAGTAAGGTGTATATAACACTTTGTTTCCGAATAAAAAGCTAAGAAAGTTATTTTTGCAGTTATTTTCAGAGCTATGGCTGGAGCTGGATTCGGACCCACAAGCTTTTGGTCTGGAGCCCAGTGTTTCAGCCCTAGGCAGACATCTCAAGGGGAAACGGCACTAGGGTATGTGGGGCCCATAACCCCTGCCTCTTTGACAAGTCAGCCTCCGAGCGACAAAGCTGACCATCCATGGTGAATTTCAGGGGCCCTCATGGCAAGTGGGGCCGTGCTGGGGCCCCTATGGGGGCCATGCTAACCTTCTCAATATCATTACATTTTTAGTATATGTGCTGCCATAGCAAGCAAAATGCTTCTATTTTTACATGACAGATGTACAAACAACATGTAGCCACAAAGTTACAATAATGTTCCTCAGAGTCCGTTTCTGTACCTTAAAAGATACATTTACCTACAGTTAACCCTCTGGGGTTGAGTGCATCATCGGCGACGCAGCGTACTTTTCGTGTATATTTCAGTTTATGTCTCGCTGAAATCTTAATGTAGAATCATGAAAAAAGCTGGTTAAATGCGTAATCTGTCTTCTTTTCAAAATGTCCATTGTCGAAGTATTAAAGTTTTTAAAATTAAAAAGTAAATCATGTCATCTTAGTTTGTTTTACCTGGATCGGGGGCATGTAGTACCGCTATTCACATTGTAAATAGCCGCATTAGCCCATATTCAAATCGCATTCGCATGGTAATTTGATTAACAGCGCAACCAGCGCGATCCAGAAACATCCCCATCAGCGCCATAAAAGGGGGGTAGGGACGTGGCCAGGTGACAATGGCTCATTCATACACATGAAAGTTGCTACATATTCAATGAAAGGAGCCAGAACTTACATGAATTAGCTTTTTCTTATTTATTTATCTAACTGAATGTTGCAACTACACCATTTAGTCATCTTCATGTAGCCAAGACTTTGCTGATCAGATATCTGGGATCAAAACAAACTGCCAGCATTGCTTACTATGTACTTTTATAATGTTTCTGGATTTCTGCAAGTGTTCCAAACTGCATTTTGCAATGTCTATACTTTGATGTCAAATTACAAACTTAACATAAATCTGACATATTTACAATATACATTAAAATAAAAATGAGTGTAATGGCAAAACAAATATATAAGAAATAATTTGCCATAAATTAAGGTTATGATTTTTAAAGAAATGTGTGACCATGTCCCAGTCAGTGTACAGTGTGTATTATAACAAAAATATATACTCATGTATTTGTATTGTGCTAGTTGTTGTGATGTAAATAGACTTAAGACACAGATGTCATAACAGCAGGTGAGGTATAGTTCCTTGACATTTCACAGTGTGTTATTATGAACAGTTAAAAAGCTGTGGTGGTATGTTCTGATTTAGGAGTTTAATGACCTGAGCTGGGTGGTATGATGGCACAGTGGTTAGCGTTGCCACCTCACAGCAAGGTTCGATCCCAGGATCAGGCGCAGGTCCTTTCTTTTTGGAGTTTACACACTCTCCCCATGTTCATGTTCTGGATTGCTCCCATGGTCCAAAAGGTGTGCAGGGCAGGTTGATTGGTAAGTCTAAATTGGCCCTGTGTGTGCCCTCTGCAGTGTGTTGGTGACTGCCCAGGGTAGGTTCCTGCCTCTGCCCCTTGTTCCTGGGATAGGCTCTGGTGACCTCAGTTGAGATTAAGTGGTTACAATGATGGATGGATGGCCTTAGCCTAGAAGCACTTCCCGAGTCTCTCTGTTTTTTCCATAATACTTCTGAAGCATTTTTCTGATTTAAGCAGGTCAAACAGGCGGTTACTGGGGTGAGACAGGTCTTTGACGATCCTGGCTATTATTGCATCTCCTGATGTAAATGTCCTACAGAGACTGTCAATCTGATCTGATGTAGGGTTCTGGCAGCCGGATTACTCTCTGTAGACCTTTAATATCTGATGTGATGAGGTGATGTTCTCAGTCAAGACACTTTCCACAGTGCCAGAGTAAAAAGTCCTTAGCATCACAGGAGAGAACCGAAACTTCCTCAGGTGTCTCAGGTGGTAGAGATGCTGCCTTGGCTTTTTGGACAGGATTTTTGTATGTATGCCCAGATATTTGAAGCAGGTCACCCTCTCCACTGCAGTCCCATACATGTTGACAGTAATGTAGAATCTCTGCTTGTGGATCTTTAAACGCATATGAGGACCACAGACTGAGCCAGAGACTCGTTGAAGATGGAGGTGCAGACTCCAGTCAGCTGGTCAGTGCAGCACAGCAGGCACCCAGAGATGCCATACAGATCTAGCACTTTCCCGGTGTTGATCCACTGTGGTGCCCTGTGCACGTCACGCTCTGCAATGGTGATGATTTCACCGTACTCCATTAGCAGGTTATAGCTGTCACTAGCTGTGTGGCTAGTGTAACTATGTAAGTCTCCCTCTACCTGCCTAGGTGGGCCCTAGTACCTATTAAATCACTACTAGTCAAGTCTACTTACTCTGTCCAAGATTCGTACAGGAGGACTGCAGTAGTGAACACTGATTATTGCATTACGCCAACCCACAATAACACAAACACCAATCAGGATTTATAAAAGGGAATCTTGTATTGTTGATTATGGCTCCAGGTCAAAATATGTATGTATATGTGTACATTTCTCACGGTATATTGGGTACTGTTAAAAATAAATAAATAAATAAATAAATAAAATCCCTTAACAGTTCTGAGGTAATATGAACTCCAATTCAGATCACAGTTCACTTCAGACCATATAGAACAGACACAGTATGATATGAGATATCAATGTAAACCATTAATAGGGTAACCACAGTATGGCATGGAATAGCAATATAAATCGCTAACACATTAGAACACAGTATGGCATGGAATAGCAATATAAATCGCTAACACATTAGAACACATTAGAACACGTTAGAACACGTTGGATCCAACAACCCCCCAAAGGGGAGTATATCAGTCTTTAAGGTTCTGCGATCTTAGGAAAAAAAATGGGTGTGTGATGAGTTGAATCAAATATGATTTGTGTGTGTGTGTATGGGAAAAGAGCTGAGTCAAAACAGCAGAAAGAAAAAAACCATTATGGGGAAATGTTCCGCGTTCTGATTTAAAAAAAAATAAAATAAAAAAAATGCATTTCACAGTATTCCAATCCTACCACTCCCTTGTTGGGAATCTATCAGTCCATGGAAGTCAGAGGATAGCGTAGCAGGTGCAGTGGAATCCACGATGATGCACGGGCCTCGAGAAGGGGGGAAAAACCAGCCAGGGTATCTTCAAATAAAAGACAGAATTTCCCAAGAAAATCTGCAGGAAAACCCTCTTAGTGTCCGTGTATGAGGCTGTGTAGTGATGTTCGGTGTGTAATCTAAAGTTAACGTCTCCTCGCTTTTCTTTTCCGGGGTGAATTGAGCATGCGGGGGGAAAAAAAAGGAAAAAAAAAATCTTCTCTCCCGGGAAAGTACTTAGGGAGTGTCTGCAAATAACCCACCACTACTAATGCGTTTAGGGAGTATCCACTCTGGGTGAATGAACGAAAATCAAGGTGTAAGTATAATAGAATAAGAATTCATTTGAGATGCAGTAATTCCATAGGGGTTACACTAGCATTAGCACAATTAGCCTCAAAACAAGCATAGAATGCATTAAGTTTCCGCAGTGGATTTACTTTTAAAATGCGTGATTGTGTGCAGTCTGTGCCACATTTCGCAGCGGCAGAGCTCCCCTCACCCAGCACTTCTCACCCGCTGCGGCAGAACCCCCCTCACTCTGCACTCCTTACCCACCGCAGCTGAGACCCCCTCACTCGCCATGGCAGAGCCCCCCTCACTCTGCAGACAATGATATTACAGATGTACTTTCTGCTGCTGTGTTACACTTGGCCTAACTTCTACATCTTTCTGAGCAGCTGCCTGTTGGGCCAAGGCACCGGGACTGCACAGTGGCCTCACGTAAGCCAGATGGCCAGGAGATTGATGTAGTGAGGCTGAACTGCTGGGCTGCCATCCTGCATAACTACAGCATCATCAGACAGCTGGTCCAGTGCAGTCTGTACACTATCTGTTTACTAAATGTGTTGAGCCAACATTTGGGATCACGTGATAGAAACTGGTTTTTAACGCTCCAGTGTGTTTCCTGAAACATTTTTAGTTAACCCTCTGGGGTCTGAGGCTTCTTTTC